TATGTTAATATGTTCTAATGCTAACTATGGTTGTGGCACGAATTGATGAGTTGGCTTGTCCGGGGAAGGACTACGCTCTCACAGAATAACAGAGCAAAATAGCAGCTTAATACTGCTGTATTTCTTATGGTGAATGTCTCTACATTCGGAGACCATTCGGAGACCAATTTTTACTGGAAGCCAGAAATTCTATCTTAGCCCTATGGGGTGACAACGCATCTGCGTTTTGATTCTTAATTGAAGATAAATGTAGATGTCTATGGGCCATCGCATCCACTTACCATCAGGTGGACTGTGTGCTCGTTTGTCACCCTTATTCTATAAAAAGAAAAGAAACTGTCAATTGAAAACTGACGAACTTACAAATAATTGTGAATGTTTTTTAGTATTATATTTCAAAGCTTATATTTATAACAAAGTATATTATATTTTCTGGAATAGCTAAAATTACATTTTATTAATAGAGTACTTAAATTATAGATATATTTTATATTTATTTATTTGTTACTTTTATTACTTTTTAAACGACTACGAAGTAACTTTACTAGATTTCATGTGGTCAAATTTAGAAATAATACTATCCGTATCAATTTCTCTAAGCAATAACAATCAAGGAAATTATTCAGGCGTTATAGACTCACAGTATTTCCTTCATTAATTTTTTATACGGTTCAATGTCGAAAATTAACGCACCACTGCAGTTTGATCATGAGAGACAATAAATGCGCTAAGCAGTTTCTAAATTGGGGAAACATGATACTCGTACTAATCCGTTAGGAAATATCCATTAGGAATTTTTATTTAATTTCTGGAAATGGATATGGCTGGTTTTAGATAAGTATAACATATGTCCTTTTCTTTTATGGGAATAAATTAGTCGGAAAAACCGCAGGTAACAATAAATTCCACAGTTTGGTCGTGCGAAGCAGAATATTCCGCGTAAATCACACAGTAGTGGACCGCCAGCCATAGATATAATGAGATTGGAATTTCTATTTCTGACGCAGTGTACGATGTACGATGTTGGAGTTGAGCACTTGAAGTTAATAAGCTGATACTTGGGTGCCCCAACCCAGAGATTAGAACAGTATTCCATATGAGGCCAATCTGCGCTTTGTAAAGCTGCAAGCGGTTGTCTAGCATGAAATACCGTCTCGATCTACTGAGCACTAATTTTTTTTTGATGCCAGATTAGCCTTACCTTCCAAGTGACAACGAAACTGTACGTCTCTTGAAATGTCAACGCCAAAGATTCCAATGCTGGCTGAGATAACGAAGGGGAGTGACCTGAAATCGAGGAGATACGACAAAGGGGTTATTTTTTGCGGTAAACGCGCAATCCTGTTTTTTTGAGGGTTAAACTTTGGTCGCCACCAATCTGAGACTTTGTTCAACAAACACGCAGCTTCAGACACAAGTTTGATTCGACACTCAACGGTATCATTCCCGAGAAATATTAGCACGGCCGGTGTATAAAGCATCGCCAGTTCTGTCGTCTGCATAACAATGAATGTTACTAGTATGCAACATATCATTGATTTGTAACAGGGTAGGTAGCACGCAGTCTTGTGAACCAGCATTATTCACAGGTTTGGAATTGGAGCATGCACTGTAAAAAACTGGTGACCCAATTGCATAATTTCTCGAGAAGCCCATAAGAGGAAAGCTTTGAAAGAAGCGCTTTGTCCCAAACTCGATCGAAACCCTTCGCTATGTCCAAATTAACCGCCATGGCCTTTCCCTTGGTCTCGACTGCATTCGTCCATCGGTCATCGGTGAGTCCGATAGCGAAAAAGACCACCAGCTAAGCGACTTTGACGGAAATCGTATTATAGAGATATTAATAGTACTTATTTTGCTACCATCCGCTAAAATAAATAAAATGACGTGTCTACCCTAGTTTGAAGAGCACCTCCCGCCCTCCCTCAATTGCGTGCACTAATCCCGTCACCACCAATCCCAGCAACACTACTCCCAACGCCACTACTCCTAATACCACTATTCTAGGAAATACACACCATCGATGATAATACGACACGTGTTTCGGCTCTACACGAGGCATCTTCAGGTAATGTTGACTCTACGGCGGCTGACCGCTAAGAAATCGTATTGATGATCACTAATCAGCTGACGCTTTTCAAGGTACCGCATGAGCTTGCAGTTAATAATGGATTTCATTTTTTAGGAGTACAAGGAGGTAATAGCGATGGGTCCTGTAGTTGGGCGGTTTCGAGCGGTCACCTTTTTTAGGGATCAGGTGCATTAAGGCTATCTTGGAAATGTACTTCGGAACAGTAGATGATCCGAAGAGCTAAGAGGAGCATCGACAGAAATCTTATAGCCGTCCGTCCGGTCTAACAGGAAAGATGTATGACATCTGAAATCTGCGTGGACGAAGTGACCAGTTGTGTCAGACCATATGATAAGGCAAGTCCTAACCGGATCTTCCCGCTTGATCAGTATTATGATAACCGAGCCATTCGGCGTGGTTTACCGTATGAAATGTTTGTGTTTCATTTTCGCCGACGAAGTAATCTGTTACCGATTGTCTTTTGAAACGTTTTACGTTTTTGTGACATTAAGTTAATTCAATATACCGTATTAATAAGTTTTAAGGCGGTGATGGGCGGGTTAGGATACGCGGGGCCACCTTTTGCGCGGGGCTCGTAGCAATTGCTACTCTTGTTACGTGGTTAATCAGGCGCTGGTTGCAGAACGAATGGGTCGGCTCGACCGGGGAAGAACCACGCTCTCGCAGAATACCAGCGTAAAATGCAAGTATTTCTTATGATTAGTGTAGAGAATCGGAGGCCCTTTTTAGTGGTAACGAGGTCTTCCATCTTGGTTGTTGGGTTTGGCAACGTATCTGCATTTTTAATCTTAATTTTTTTGCGCCCGAAGCAATAAGGGTAACCCTCCGGAAAGCGGGGGAGGGAGGCGATGAATGCTCACAGCATACCACGCAGCCGGCTGCATAGTTATATGGAGACTTTTACCCACTAAACACCGCCTTTAGAAATTGGCTTACCGATCTGACGAGAGATCTTTAAGCCGTAAACGGACGCGACCCTCCTTGGCATTGCTTGGTGATGTGTTAAGTAGGCTAGGCCTGAGCCGCCAGGAGGCAGTTCAGGTCAGCCGAAAGCTTTTTGGGAAGGGGGGGGGTCCGAGAGAGAGTTTCCCGATCTGCGCACACTATAGCGAGTGTTAAGAGGGGCTGCATACGCAGCTGTCTCATGAATGAGGTGATTTGAGTGGGACTTTGAGGCTTTGAGAAATCTCTCAGAGAGTGATTTGAGGAACTGCTGAATTGTGGGGAGCTCTAAGTCTCGGTGTAGGTCGGTGTTACGGACATAATAGGGCGAGTTTGTGGCCCTACGACAGAAGAGATTTAGTTAATCTTGATCGAGGATAAACCTATATGACTATATGCCACAGCATACAATTACCATTAAATAAACTGTGTGCTCGTTTGACATTTTGCATTGTGTGGCTTTAATCGTCGTATTTACGTCATAGGCAGACCTTTAATTAAGTAAATGCTGTTTTATTTTCGTTCAGTTTTTATATTTCCTTATCTTAATATATATTAATTACGTGTCACGTTGTTTGTCCACGATGGACTCTTAAACTACTTGACCGATTTTAATCAAATTTGCACTCCGTGTGCCGTTTGGCCCAACTTGAGAGATAGGATATTTTTTTGCCCATGACCGTGAGTAACCCACAAGTTTTTTTGTTAATTTAAGGATTTTTAATAGGACATGACAAAGGGTCGTCGAAAAGGGCAGAAAACCATCTGTCTGGCAAGTTATTTGCATATATAATTCACTTCAGCATATTATATTCTTTTACAAATTGTAACATTGTAATTTACAATATTGTAATCTTACTGTAAGTATTTATATCAACAGTAAACTTAATTGTAACACTGTAATTTACAATGATGTAATCTTACTGCTTACTGTAAGTATTTATATCAACAGTAAACTTATTCAAATCATTGAGCTTTTATAACGATCAAGAAACACAATAAGCCTTGTTATGAGCCAAGTTTTCCAGAAGTGTAGAGTCGTGCAAACTAGGGTTGTCACCTTTTTTTTTTGAAACAAATATTTTGAATTTTTAAACAAAAATTTTTCCCAAAAAATATGGAAATATATAAGTATATATATTTCCATATTTTTTGGGAAAACTAGTAGTACTATTGAGAAATTCAAGAGAAAAGAAGTACACATTTATTTTTAATTTTTATGTAGTTTCCATGTATATTTATTATGGCTCCTTGCTTTGACCATCAATGATTTAACCACCTTATCTTCTGGCTTATCCTTAGAACTTATAGGTCTAAACAATTAAGATTAACATTAAAACAAATTAACAATAAAAAAATTATTTAATTATCACATGCCCCTTTTCTTCTTCTTTTTTTTACAATTTTACTTTCAAAATGTTTTTTTTTTTGTAAAACTTGTTCCAGGCACAGTTCACAGTTAACATTATATGGACATTGAACATGAACAATGAAAATTGAACGTGATACTTGTATTAGGGATATAAATATAGTATTTTTCATACTTTATCATTTTTATATAATATATACAATTCAGTTCAGTTCAGTACAATTGACTGAAATATAGTGCGATACTATATATTATTGTACGGGTGGCAACCCTAGTGTAAACGGACGTGCATCCGAAACTTCACGGCCGTTCCGTTGACCGTTACACCAGCGCAGCGCCGTGTGACTCGGGAGGGCTGACTAATTAATAGGCGAATGGAGACCGGCGTTTATCAGTCAGCAGTTTATCGGTGCCTACGTCGCAGTGCAATCTCGTTGCGGATTAAACGACTAGTAGTTGTTATTTACACTTTGCTCTAGTGTGGCGGGGGCGGGGCGCGTCAGTGCGCGCGCGATGCGTTTGCCGGTGCACGCGTGCTCCCTTACCGGTGCGCAGTAATCGGTCGTCACCCATAACGAGAACATCATGGATTGGTCGATGCTAGAAGATTGGCTGAGCGGGCCTTTCGACGCGTATTATCCCCACTGTGATGAGAATAATGTGCAGCCGGTGCCCGCACGGGACGATCTGACGCAAGCGCAGCCCTATTCGGCGAATCAAGCGTTTACCCTTCTGTTATCCCCTTCAAATCCAGTCCAGCCGCCACCACCTCCCAATCCGGTCCAGCCGCCACCACCTCCCAATGTGGTCCAGCCGCCACCGCCTCCCAATGTGATCCAGCCGCCACCACCTCCCAATCCGGTCCAGCCGCAACCACTTCCCAATCCGGTCCAGCCACCACCACCTCCCAATGCAGTCCAGCCGCCACCGCCTCCCAATCCGGTCCAGCCGCCACCACCTCCCAATCCGGTCCAGCCACCACCACCTCCCAATCCGGTCCAGCCGCCACCACCTCCCAATGCGGTCCAGCCGCCACCACCTCCCAATCCGGTCCAGCCGCCACCACCTCCCACTGTGGCCTTCAAGTGGTATGTACAAAATAATTATCAAATTCTATTACGTATTAACATTGTAATACACATAGGTTTTGCGTGGTATGACCTTGAATTTCAAAACATACTCGACAACAACTATTGGCGTAATTGCTTAATACAATTAATTACCTTATAGTAATTACTTACTATGTGCTATGAAATGTCAGTAAACAATCGATTTTTTCGTATAGAACCACCTATATTTATATATTATTTATGTATATGTAATATTTTCATATATTGTATCATTATATTTTCTCAAGTCACCAAGTCCCACTTACACATGTGAGATTCAGGAAAATTATTATCATATAATATCAAAGGGACTTCGAAACGAATTTGGGTTTGAGTCATGACCTATCCAAGTATCCAACATAGATGTGTGTGACGCATAAATTTCGTCTCACTAGTGTACGTTTATAATATCTTGCCTGGAAAGTTATTGCAGCATTTCACTATTAAAGTATTCAGATTAATCCAAAGTTGTTTCAATATTTAATCGGGGTCACAAGATAGGTATATACATTTATCTTCCAAAGCTACTTGTTTCAACCGTTAAATCACATACTCTATCAAAATAAAAATTTAAGTAATATATACCTTAACACCTTAAAACACTGCCTTAGTGTTTCCAACCTAAAAATATCACGATAAAATAGGAGGGAAAAAATGTTTTATTTAGGCATTGTTTTTTTCTCTCTAAATTAACTTTTTAGGCCTATTCTTTTTTGTGCCTCTCCTTTGTCCGATACTAAACATAACTAAACAGACACTCCGAACCCTGCCCTCAAAACACGGCCCACATTTATCCCCCTTATAATGATAGCAATTTAAACAATAATCAAAACTCCAGACCTAAAATATGAAGGTACTGTTACGTTATTGATATAATATTTATAAGATAAGTAGCCAGTAAGTTCTGGATCTCGACCATAGTGCCATCAACCTGATCCAAACGTGAATCTAAACCGTCATGATGGTTGACGGTTGACGGTCCCAAACACACACGGTCTGTCACGGAGTCCCAGCCGCCTCAGGTATCCCGAGAGGCTGACTGGGATTAGCCCATTTGCAGAACATTATTATTATTATTATTAGCCTGAAATGTTCCTCTGCAGGGCAAAGGCGTCCCTCCGTTCTTCTTTAATTAATAGTCATTAATAATCAAGTACATTTACAAGACAATCAAGTTTATTTGTCTTTGCCTGTTTATCGTGAAGCATTAAGGGATGGTCTTGAACACGTCCAATATTTTTAAGGCACGTTTCTTATGAGACATTTGTATAAAGTTTTCGTAGTCTCGTTAACTTTACTGAAACTGAGTAATGTGTGTGAACGCTCTCTTATTACGAGTAGAGTTGGTTCTAAATGCACGATGAACACACGCTGCATGTTCGAAGAGACACATGATTTGTACGTAGTGTAATGGTGACCATTACACTATGTAGACATGGTGTGTAAGAGAAGTACAAGAATATAGTGGATTCCTATTATCATGTGCAAAAAGCATTAAAGACTTCTATAGGTATTCTTATAATCTAGGTATATTCAATAACATATATTATTTTATATTATATTCTATGTACACGTTGCAAGCCACAAAAGACCACTAATTAGGGTCTTGCAGTTTTATAATAAGACCACTTACCACTGATATGATGTAATCTGTAGATTTGATTATTTTTTCATAATTTATTTATATTATATTATACTATTATGTACCAATTCTGACATCTAAAACTACTTTTGTATTTTTCGGATACTGTTTAGCATTTCTATAGTGTATTCACTTTAAACATTTTTTTATGTAAATAACACGTGCATGTTTCTTGTAAAATATTATCTTTTGGCGAAATGCAATATTGTGAAAACGTGTTATTTTTATATATTTTTCAGTTTTATTGTTATCATCTAAAGACCAATAGGTGTAATTAATGCTCTGTGACGTTCCCTGCCAGTCAACTCAAGATGACGAAAAGCGTTTAAAAACTAAAGTTATTAAAAATACACATACAAAATATACAAATAACTATATCAACGATACCTTTAAACAATGATACGTATTATGTCTTTTTAATAAGACGCTCAAGTTATTCGTTCGTTTGTTACAGTTATTAAAAGTCCACTACTGTTATCTGCCTTCCACATAGCTTGCCTCATGAGGATTATTTGCCATATTTACCACACTTGCCAGGCGGGTTGGGAACCAATTTCTTAGTTTTGATGAATTATGTCAAAATGAATATTATTTATTTGTCAATTATTTAAATCTTTGAAATCAATACGTGGTGGAGCAATGGTGCAGCTATGTTATAGTTGTAGTATGAATGGATGGCTCGACCGGGGAAGGACCACGCTCTCACAGAATACCAGCGTGAGTGTAGAGAATCGGATACCATTTTTACTGGAATCGAGGCATCCTATCTTAGCCCTCAGGGGTGACAATGCATTTACATTTTGATTCTTAATTGTGGATAACTGTGGATATCTATGGGCCACAGTATCTGCTTACGCCTGGATACCACCTGAGTTTACCTGGGACTGAGATATGTCAATCAATGCTATAAAAAATTACATTTACAAATATTCAATTAAGTGTATTCTAGAGGTGGCATATGTTTTAGTGGAATTATTAAAAGCTATACAACTGTTACTTCTTCTCAATTCACACCAATTATTTACTAATACTATCTTTTTTAGTTATCAAGTGTGTCTTCGTCTCAGTTTCAGTCATGGCGCAAGCGCTATTGTGATCCTAGCATCAAACATACGCTCTATCACAGTTTTTGATGTATTAATGCGCGATAGGTTTCGAGGTAGGCTTCTGCAATGTCACATATTGCGATAATTTTGGTTGCACAAAAGTTCAAGTGAGAGAGATATGTACTTTCATTTTATATTTAGTGCATCGATTGGATACAAATTTAAAAAAGAAGCTAATAAAATTCTTTCAGTTATTTTATTGCTATATGGTCGAAACATGAAAACATTTTTTCTTAAATCCTTCAATATATTCTAGTCCAAAACTTTTTACAAAAGCTTTGAAAAGAAAGCCCTTATATCAAATTCAACTCATCGCGCCATCGTGTACATTTTATCATTCCTCATAACGGTATATCACAATATAACTTTGTTAAGTGCTGCATCATTTACTTTACAGATTGATAAAGATTTATATCAAACATACAACATGTGAACCGAATCGTATTATAAATATACTGACCTTTAATTTGTAAAATAAGATTGTTTTTATTATTTATTACCATTAGGAAAATAATTAAAGCTGAAACGGTTATAAATAAAAATAAAAAGCCTTTTATTTCTTGCTTTACACTATAGAGGCGTATACATAGGAGTAGTGTAGGGCGAGCCCCCACTAGATGGAGTGACGACCTGGTAAGACATGCCGGAAGTCGATGGATTCAGGTGGCTCAGGATCGTGCTTTGTGGCGTTACCTGGAGGAGGCTATTCTCAGCAGTGGACTTGTGAAGGGCTGTAATGATGATGATGATGACTATAGATTTACAATTTGAAACAGTGTGCATGCAAAAATTAATTGATCCAGTGTTACAAAACTTAGTATTTTGGCAGGTATTACTTTTGATAGTTATGTGTTTGTAATAGAACAAGATATGTAATAGACTTTCAATTCCATTAATTATTTGCAGTAAATTACTTCTTACCTCTAGTAATTGTCTTAGAATAATATAAGAATGAATATGAAAAGTTTTTAATGAATCCTGATAATATTTTAAAATTAAATTTTCATAAAATTCACACACAGTGTAGAATTGGTCAGTTTAATTCACCCTTTTTTTGGGTGTACATGTACGTTTGTACACTTCAACGGAGGGTAAAGGCCTCCTTCAGAGATGAGATGACCAATGTTTTCTGTCCTCTGTTACTCGCATCCAGTGGGTAGTTGCTTTACAGCCTTACGGACAAGTTTTTTAGAATTTCTTTTAGGCTTAAAAATTTCTTCATGGTGATGTTGACTCTTCTCTCTACTTCCTGTTCGTTGTTGTGTTGGTTAAATGAAAATTGTTTACCCAGGTATATGTATGTATCAACATAGGTTAAAGGCAGATTTTTGAGATATATTGGTATTTTATTATGATTTGTCATGACATTAGTTTTATTTAAGTTGATTTTCAAGCCTACTTTACGACTTTTCCTACGTAGAGATTTTATCATCAGTTGAGTTGGTTTGTGCATGTAGTTGTCTGATAGCAGAACTATATCGTCAACAAATCTGAGATGACTCAGGCAACATCCGTTTATGTTTATGCCGACTTTATCCCAGTTTAGTTTGCGAATGATGGACTCTAGCACCGCTATAAAGATTGTTGGTGAGACTGGGTGTCCTTGTCTTACACCTTTTTTAATTAGTATGAGTGGCCCAGTTGTCTTCAACTTCAGTCTGCTAGTACTGTTGTCATATAGTTTTTCAGGACTAGTATGTAGACCAATGCCACTTCTTGCAGTAGAGCTTTCCAAATCGATGAATGGAGTTGATTATCGAAGGCTTGTTCATAATCACTAAAAACGGCATACAGTGATCAGTTAAACTTTTGGAATTTTTCTATTATCATCTCTAGCGCATTATTTTCAATAATACAAGGCTGAATTTTGTTAACAATGGTAGTACGGGTTATACGTAGTTTAAAATTCTTTAACAAGATTGTCTCACATAGGCCGCTACATATAAACGGGCAGTCCAAAGATTACGCGACGGTCACACACACGCACACACGTATATACCTTTTTTAATTTTTGTGGTAAAATTCGCATAATTGAAATTTTGCACCCCCCCCCCCCCCGAATGTGGCACCAGTAATCCATCCGAACATTAACTGATTTGACATGTACCCTAGATTAACTAGATTAAGAATCAAAAATGGTAATCCGGGCCCAGACTTGTTCATAAACTTTAAAAAACGACACCGAATCGCGCGCGCGCGCGCATGTGTGTGACATTCAGGATCATCCGGTG